CAGAGGCAGCAGTGTGCTTTCATCCAGTTTGCCACCCGGCAAGCCGCGGAAGTGGCTGCTGAGAAATCCTTCAACAAACTCATTGTCAATGGTCGCAGGCTCAATGTCAAATGGGGAAGGTGAGTGGTAGGAGGAGGCCTTGTGGGTGCTGCCACCAGGTTCTTCATGGAGTTTATGCAGTCATGATGAGCAGGACTGGATATGAAGTTGGTCCAGATGCTGAGTTGGCAAATAGTTGAGGTCTCTGACAGTTTGGGTTTTTTTCAGCAGTGGGATCTGGGTTGGAGAGTACACAAATCACACAAATTTGGTAAGGGGTTTCCTGGTTAAGGGTTATGGATGAGTTTCTGTAGTTTTACTTCTCATCCAGCTATCGTAAACACTGTTTGCATGCTTTGTACAGGCTGTATCTGATACTCTGCGAATTTTTCGTCTTTGGCCTGAAGCAATGGATCTAGATTAGATAATGTGAAACTATTGTGGTGTGAATATCTGCTTATGCTGCCTTTTCTCATCCTTGTCCTCAAACTTTTGTCCATGTTTTAGGTCCCAGGCAGCAAGAGGAAAAGAAAAGGACAAGGAAGGTACTACAGAATCCGGGATAAAGCTGGAGCCAGTTCCAGGACTTCCTGGAGGTAAGGGAGTTGTTTCCATCTCTGAAACACTTAATGCTGACCTGCTTCCTGAGAGAGGCTGGTGTTACACCTCTGGGAGCAGTACGGAGTTCAGGACGGTAGAGGCACTGGTGAGCCCAGAGCAGTTACTTACAGCAGGTTTGCAGCAGATCTGGCTGGGATGGGAGGTGGGCTTTGTCTAGAAGCAAATTCTTGGTGAAAAGAGAGTTCTTTATGTGCTGAGTGAAAAGGTAAAGCTGAATTAAAGATACTTAGGTCTGAGGCAACCCATGCTTTTCAAGGCTTGGTTAATGTTTTCCTAATCCACGGAGCGTTGTGTGATTGGAAAAAGCAAGGCTGGTTTCAGGTGAGGAAAAACGGTGGCTGTTGCGGAGTGTCAGTGCGGTCCTGCTTCTCGCTCCAGTTCAGATGTGTGATAGTAGCAGCAGTTTGCCCTTACGGAAGAACTGATTGTGCCTCCTCTGTGTTTCTTGACTGAGAGATTTTCCATAACCTCGGTGTGTTTTTTCTGCAGCTCTCCCACCTCCTCCAGCTGCAGAAGAGGAGGCTTCTGCAAATTACTTCAACCTACCTCCAAGCGGCCCTCCAGCCGTGGTTAACATTGCCTTGCCACCTCCTCCTGGCATCGCACCGCCACCTCCTCCAGGTACCTGTGTTTCCCCTTCCAGCGGGGATGTCTGACTCGGTGTCAGACCATCTAGTCCTCCTTGCAGCACTGATTCGTGCCCTGAGTTCATTGATCATCTACCATGAGCTGTCAGCACAGTTTGGTTAAACTGAGCTGCCTCTTGTGCTGTGTATTCACTTTCAAATTCTCAGGCGTGCCAGAGATCCCTGTTACTGGTACTGAGGCTGGTAATTCTGCAGCTGGCTGAAGGCTGGCCTGCGTTTGGCTGTGTGTGTGTGTGTATCTAGAGACCTTTTTTTTAATGGGACATCAGGCTCTTGTGAGTGTGTTTGCTTTGCTCCACATTTGAGTGGAAAGCATTTAGATTGGCGTTACAGACACCCATATAGTCCCCCACCAGCTTTTATCTGTTGAGTAAGGATGTGTGTTGGGTAAGGATTGCCCCCAGTTGTACTGGAAAGAGGAGGAGTTGGGGGATTTGAGGAATCATGGGAGATGTGCACCTTTCTGAGGCACAGCTGTAAGCCAGCTGTTTTCCGTTGGTGGTTTCAAACAGTAGTACATCTGCATTGGTCATTGTGTTGCTTTGTCTGAAACTGCCAACTTTTGTTTCTGCAGGTTTCGGACCACATATGTTCCACGCCATGGGGCCCCCCCCTCCCTTCATGAGAGCCCCAGGCCCCATTCACTACCCGTCTCAAGACCCCCAGAGGATGGGTGCCCACGCGGGAAAGCACAGCAGCCCCTAGCACACCCAGCCACCCGTGTCGTTTAAGTAAATGTTATTTTCTAGTTGCCATCGTAGCGCCGTACGTTGAGCTGTGGGTGAGCTAGAGAAGCCTTATTTCCCTGCTTGCAGACACTGGGCAGGCTGAGCTCTGTGTCTCCACTAGCTAGCGGGATCGTGGATACATCCCAGGTCTTTCATGTAGGGTGGGGGGTGGGGGGCAGGGGGGAGACGGAAAGGCTGTTGGGGGTCTGTGGGTCAGGTGTAGCGGAATGACAGTGCTGTCAGTGTATCCTGTTTGCACACTTTTGAAATAAACTTCTGGAAAAGCGAAACAAAACCCTTTTCAAGCCCATTTGATAGCCTCAGTCTGAACACTATGGACTGTGCGAGTGTAACCAGAGACTTCTCTGTCAGGTAACTAATGACTTTACTGTTCTAATGAGGTATTAAACCAGAACTGAATCAGAGCTGAAAAACAAGCTTATCAGACGTACCAAACCCATGGCTTTGCCTTACTATTGCCACAGAATTTTCCTCGCTCTTTTTTCCTGCTGTCTTGCTAAAAACCCCCGAAAAAAACCAACAAAAAACCAGAGCCTCTTTTGATGTTCACTTTAATCCTGCACGTCCTGGCCAAGATAAGCGTTAGGTCATGCGAGCAGCCCCCAGGTAGTCCAGGCATGACGTGACAGCTTAGCAGTTGCCCGTTTAAGGCTGGTGAAGGCCCCCTTGGTGCTCTCCCAGAGGCTGGGCTTGTGTTGTTAACAGCTGCTGGGGGGGACTCTGTGCACCCACAAGCTTGTCCTGGGTCTGTTGGAGCATGACCTGATACTGTCTCCTCTTAAACTGGGATGGATCCGCTTTGTCCTGCTCTGATAAGACACAAAACTTTTCTTTATGTGCTCAAACCAGAGTGTCCAGGAGCAACTGTGTCCTGCATGGAGCCTGCTGTTGAATAAAATGTATGTACACGTGGTTGGAGGATTTCAAGTTTATCTGTATGTCAGCTGCTTTCATGTGATGGATCTTTGGACATCTGTCTGTAAAGCAGAACGTGGTGGGACCTGTTCTGAAGCCTCATGCTTGTTTAAAAAAAACCCAAAACAAAAACATTAAAATATTTGAATTTTTGAACACTTTGCTTAGACCCTGCTTCCTGGAGCACAGTGTCTGAGCGCTTTGTTTGATTTTATTTGGCTGCTGCCAAAGCCAAAATGCTTTTAGTTTTATGTGCTGTCCTGTGTGATGCCACTGGGTCCTGCTGATGCTGCCATCCCTGCCAGGCTGTCGGAGGTGGCACCAGGGCTGTGGCTGGCAGGCAGGCTGGCTTTCTCCGGAGGAAGCTGGACTTTGGGTGCAGGTGCCTAGTTTTGGTTTTGACAGATGGGAGCCATCCCGGGGCGGTGCTGGGGGGTGGGCAGAGGTCTGCTGGTGGTGCGGGAGGGCTGCAGCATTTGCCCCTCCCGTGCCCCCGAGCCTCTGCGGTCGGGGCCCACAAGCGCTGTGCAAACGGATCTCAGACGCCAGCAGGATTTGCATTATAGCAATTTATTTATTGTTTCCAGCCAGGTCCCGGGGTGCGCAGGTTCTTCAGCTGACGGACTAAGCGGGAGAGAGATGGGTTTGGAGCAGGACAGCACCTGAGCATCTTGAATTCCTACGTTTAAGGAACGGATCTTTTTTCTTTCTGGTGCTTGTCCCCTCCTGGTTCTGTGGGAAGAACAGAACAATCAAAGTTTACTGCCTGAAGGGTGTGTTGTGGCAGCAGGATCCCAGTGTGCCATTTGCTCTGCACGTCTGCGTGCACAGCACCACAAACACTTCACCAGCGAGGCAGCTGTTAACCGCGTTTTCGCCGCAGCATTTACTTGCCTGGTTTAACCACAGTGGTAGGAAAAGAAACTTGTACCCTGATGCTCCTGCTTTTGCAGCATTAAATAAGGGTAACGCTACGCACCTGACAAAAGCGATTGTAGAAAGCCTGTATTAGTTACAGATTTTTTGTTAGCAGGGTTTTCCTGATGTTCTGATGACTGTCCTGTAGACTGTTGTGAGTGGCATGTCCCACCGTGTGTCACTGCTGATTTTTGTGTTCGCAGAGAGGCCGGTGCTTACTCCAGAGCAGGGCTGCACTGCTTTTCCTTCCCACTGGTGTTGAAGTTGCTGGAATACCCTGGGAGCGTCTTTTGGACTGGTGCAGCTTTGCAGTGCAGCGGGTCCAGGCGGGGCCTGATCCTTATTGACCAACTGTATGAAGCAAATCTGGCACGAGTCAATCAAAGGGCTTAGGTGTTTAAGCAAGGCACGCAAATAGCAGTAGGAGGGGGAAAAATAACAGCTGCCAAGTGCTAGCCAGTAGCTTGTGGAAAACAAGGCACAAGTTTCCAGCTCCCAGTGTTGCCTTCTCGTCTATCCTGGCTGTGCTGTATGTGTGTAAGCAGGCAGATGCCCAGTTCATCATTTGTTTTTGTTTTCCAGCCAAGCCCAAGGCAACTGCTTTTAACATAGCAGTGTATCTGGTAACTTGGTTTGCTGGTGTTCTTCAGTTATCGCCTCCTCTCGCTGTCCTGACCGGAATGACATGTAGAGTTGTCCCAAAGATGGAATTTCTCTGCAAAAGCACCAGCTATTGGAGCAGGTCTTGAGTGTCAGTGAAGAAGCAGTGAGACCGCTTGGTGTGTTGCAACTGATGGTCCTGCCAATTTCCGCCAGGCAGGGAAGAGGGCGGACTCTGCGGGGTGTTTTGTACGGGAGCTTGCGGGGATCTGCTTGCACTAACGAGAACTCGGCTGGTTAGCGTAGCACTAAACGCCCTTGTGACAATGGCTGGTATGAGGGGAATTCCAAATGGTCCCAGACTTGAGCTTGTTCGAATCCCATTGGAGAGGATGACGACCCGAGACCACTAGCTGAGCTTCCATGAAGAATACTTACTCCCCTCCCGCGCGAAGCACATTTGAGTGTAGCGAGAAAAGCATCCGTGGCGGTGGGGAAGGGAGCGCGCGTACTACAGCTCGTCGCTCTCCGGCAGAATCCGCACCCAACCTTGCGGCACTCTGTTGAAGTTGCGCCTGTGGGAAATCACCTCCAGAGCGCTGAGGTTGTCCAGCTCCATGGCAGGCCCAGAGAACGGGTCGATGACCAGTGCTCTGTCAAATGGGGTGGGAGTCCTGCGGCACGAGAAGAAGCAGGATTAGCGCGGCATGAGGAGAGGTGGTGCATATTGTAAAGGTGGCAGAAAAAGCAGCTCCGGATTTACTAACTCTGAGCCCAGCAGCAACCTAGCAATGCCTGTAGCCATCGACAACCCTCCTCTTCCTCTCCAGGATGCTGTTGGAGGCTCTGCTAGCCCAGTGAGGTGCTTCTCTTGTACAGAGCCAACCTCAGCTCAAGCTTTGGCAAGCCTGGAGAGCGGGCTTTGGTGCCCGAGTGTCAGCGGCAGTGCACGGGAGGGAGGAAGCGTGGTGTCACCTTTACCGTGGTCTCTTGATGGTCTCTACCAACAGCAGCAGAGATGTGCTGCGCGTGAGAGGGGTTAGATTAAGGGAGCAGGTGACGGTGACAAACCCCCTGGTCTTTGGGAAGTGACTCGTCCGCAGCTAATGTGTTCTGCAGAGGGCTGACGGTGCTGCCTCCTGATTGCTCTAGCACATGTGCAGGCAAATGTCTTTCTCTTGGCCCTGGCTCCGGTCTGCCCTTGGGACAGCTTCTCTTGAACTATGACTAATGGGAGGAGCAGTGTGGGGCAAGAGCTGTCATCCCTTTCTGGAGAAATGTGGAAAGGGACTGGGGAAGAGAGTGCCAGCCCCTGAAAAGCCAAGAATGTTGGTTTTGGAGCAGCACATGGAGGCTGAGCTATCAATGAGGCAGAGCTGGGAATATTTGCTTTGGGAAGCGCTGCTCGAACATGAGTAACGTGGCACTGTTTTGCAACAGAGGAGAAATAAAGGGGGAAAGGTAAATGAGAGAGGTTTGTTCCTGAAACTTTCTGCCTTCTGGGAGACGACAGTCCTTTTCAAAGCTTAGTTTTCACTCTCTCAAGGCGGCACACCTTAGCAAGGTGGCTGAAGGTCTTTGCATCGCAGCCTGAACGTTTGAAGTTGGGAATGAATCAATCTGCTTTAACGCAGTTGCTCTTGAGATGGTGAACTTGCCCTTGCCCTGTGACCCATGTGAGCCGTGCTGGGATTCACCTAGCTTTAGGCAAGACCGCTGGCTTTTCGCTAGCCGATCTGTTCCAAAAAGCTTGTTTTTCTGCAGTTCGGTATTTGATGAATTGAGAAGTGATTTAAAAGCCAGCAGCTTGGAAGATCGTGAAAAGCCCAGTTAAAAGCAGATTGGCTCTCTGAATCTTCATGCCTCAATGAAGAATTAGAGGAGGTGGCAAGAGGCTTGGTGTTAAATTAGCATCCATCTGTATTAAATAACAGTTCAAGACTTTAAATAGAAAGGCAGCATGTGAGAAGGGAGAAATGGTACAGGGTAGAGCATTATTCAGAAACATGCCCTTGCTTCGGTCCCTGTCCGTAAATAAATACTCAGGCAGCAACATGGCTAAATGTTGAAAGAAAAGAGCCAACTGTCTGCAGCAGCTCCTTGTTCTCCCCCTACGGCACCTCCTCCTCGGATGTTACTGCTCCAGGAAAACTCAAGATAGCTGAGTAACTGGGAAGGAGACCCCGAGGGGTCCCTAACGCAGCTCCTTTGCTTCCCCATACTCGTCCATGGCTGCCTGAGGGTTCTCGCCCCTTCTGTTAACCCTGCCGCCTCCTCCCTCTCTCCCTCAGCGCCACTCCAGCACAGACCAGTGCACTGTCACGCTCACACTGGTGTGGAAGGGGAAACACAGGGGGCTGAGTGTGCTCAGCCTTGTGCTGAGGCTGAGGGAGAGGAGAGCAGCAAAGGGACGGTGGCAGCATCATCTCAGCTCCGCTGATGGTCAGGCTGATCTCTGCCCTTTGGGATGCTGTTCCCGTGTGGAGGGGTTGGAGTCCCCCGCAGCCCCTTCTGCCAAGTGTTCAAAGTCCAGCAGTCATGTCCCCCATGACTCAAATCCAACCCCAGTGCGGGCTTGGGAAACCGGCTGTCTCCAGAGGCCCAGCGCCAGGTCAGATGGTGTGAGGGGCAGCAGTGCTGCATCCTGGTAGGGAGCTCCAGTGGGAGCTTGCCTACTGGAAGGTGACTTTGGCCAGGCCACCAAGGCTAACATACTTTCATCCTCATGAAAGAGGCTTTCAGTGAGGAGGAGAGCCAGAATCTCGGTTTTCAGACTCCCTGGGATGATGTTCAGCTTAGAAGTTCAGTTCTTGTTATTTTACATTGGGCTGCTGGTGCTTTGCTACCACCAGATCTCCATCTCCTGGATCCCCACCAAGCACCTTTCCAGAAAGCAGATTTTCCTTGGTGGTCTCTGCTCCCAGCCTCGACCCCAGTGTAATTCAGAGGTGCACAGGAGGTGCAGGGCATGGAGCTTGCCAGGCTGAGCCACTATAAACAGGCCTGGAGACTTCAATCTCAAGCAGGTGTTTGGAAGGAATCTGGTGACCTCTTAGCACCTTGTGGGAAGATTAACCTTACACCCCCACCAATTCCAGCAGCTGCTTGGGTACCTTAAGGAAATTAGGAAAGAGACTTGGCAGTGTCTGTGCCGTTCCTCCACCCAGCCCAGAGCTGAGCCCAGCTAGGAAGAGCAGCGATTCCTTCTCCAGGACCACAAGCATGAGAATTACTCCTCCCAAATTTCATCCCTGAAGCTACCCAGTGAGATCAATCTGCTTAAGGCTGCTGAAGCCCAGAGGTGGAGCTGAGAGGAGATCTGGGGAGCTGCTGGAGGTAGGGACCTTTGCAGAGGAGCTACAGAGGAGCTCCTGAGCAGGAAAAGAGCAACCTGAGCCCTTGCTGCTCCCCTGTGGTGTATAAAGAGGGCATGGACCATTGAGTTTCCCTGGCAGGATGATAGGTGCTTCTTGAGGCCGAAGGGCTTGGCCAAGGGATGGACAGGCTGGCAGTGCCTGCTCCTCAGCCAGCGTTACCTGTTGAAGCTCCTGAAGTCCCACGGAGAGGGTCTCATGGGCAGCTGGTTCCCGACGTGCAGAGCATTGTCCTTGTCACTGAGGAGCTCATGCCACGGGGATCGGTAGCCCTTGGGGATGGCGGTGATATTGAACTTCTCGGGGGGGATTTCTTTGAGGGGACGCGAGTACCCTGCGTGGGGGGAGAGACGGCGTGGGCTGCCGCCGCCGGGGCGTGGGGACAAAGAGGGGGCTGGGAACAGCCTTGACTTTGCACGGCCATGGAGGACCTGCTGCTGGGGCAGGGTTACGTATATGTAACATAAATATATGTTATACGTTTATATACATGAAAACTCCGGGGGAGGGTTTTGGGGAGGACCCCTCGGCCGGCACAAGGTGCCTTCAGCCTCACATTACTGAGATTACAGTGGTGTCAGTTTTGGTGTGTAGGCGGCATTTACCCGGGGCCAGAGCGTCAGGGTTGAGGACTTTGCTCATCTGCAAGACTTTCTCTGTCTTCTTGGGCACTTCGGGGGGGCCACCCTGGGGCGATGCTGCCACATGGAGCTCGGAGTGATAGTTCTGCTGGTCCCCGGCGTCCTCCCCTGCCTGCAGAGGTGACAGTCAGCGGGGCGCGGGGAGCACCCCTGGCCCTGGTCGGGACTTGGGAGGTTGTCGAAAGCACCTCGGAGCTTCCTCCACCTACTCACCGTCCATTCGTTTGCCGTTCCCTCCGCGTCGCCTTTCTTGGTGTGGTGGGAGCCACCCATCCCTGTCCCTGGGAGCTGTGGGAGGCGAGGAGAGGGGTTAGTGGGTGCAGAGGGGGACCGGCACCCTTGCTCTTCGGTGGATGCTGAACATGATGCTTGCCCATCTCCATGCCCAGCCCACCAATCCATTTCTGCTCTCCCTTCCTCTTGGTGCAGTGGGCAGCTGCTCTGCTGAGAGACCCCCAGCCTCACGAGGAATCTCTTCCCTGCAAAGGCTGTGAGAGCCAGGGAAGAGCAGTCCCGCTCGGAACTGGGGGGGGTGAGCTGCACACCCACCTCCCTGATGCCACTGGGATGCTCAAAGACGAAGCGCTGCATCCGCCTCTGGCGCTGCTGGAAGAGCTGGGAGCCACGATTGTTCCGCAGGGAGAGTTCCTCGATCATCAGGTCCTGTGGCGTGCTCACCTTCTTGCCCAGGTCCAGCCGGGGTGCTGGGGAGGCCGGGGGAGAGCACAGCTGAGGCTGCTGCAGCGCCAGGGACCCCCATGCCCAGCGCAAGGACAGCGTGTCCCCTTGCCAGGGTCCCTGTTGCGCAGCTTGGCTGTGTGTTTGTGCTGGGAGCTGCAACAGGGACCGGCGTTTCCTTGGTGTGGGGAGTTGCCAGGGTGTTATCTCAGCTCCAGAGGCTCAGACAGCCTCTCCTGCACTGCACATGGGCCACTCCAGTGTTTGACACACAACTGCCGACCCTTGGGGCTGTAGTGCCAGAGGGCACCAATCAAGCAGGCACGGGGGCCCTGGGGAGTGGTGCCGGTGGCCTCACCAGAGCTGGGTCTGGCCCCAGGCAGAGGGGACAGCACTGCCCTGGGACTGATGGCACCCCCTGCTCCCCCTTACCGTCTTCAGAGCCCGGTCTCATGATGGTCATCACTTGCTGCCGTGCTCCTGGGGCAGTTCTGTGAGAGGGAGACGGATCCTGCCCAGCTGGAAGAGAGAGGCAGCCTCAGGAGTGATGCTGAGCATGGGGACGCATCAGCCCCAGGCGTG